TTTAAGTGGGCACTTAGTTCTATGAACTTTCCTCTTAGGACTGCTTTCATAGTGTCCCATAAGTTTAAGAATGTTGTTTCTTTATTTTCATTGAATTCCAGGAAGACTTTAATTTCTTTCTTAATTTCTTCCTTAATCCAGGTATGGTTCAGTAGTTGACTGTTCAGTTTCCATGAGTTTGTAGGCTTTTTGGGGGTAGCATTGTTGTTGAATTCTAACTTTAATCCATGGTGATCTGATAAGACACAGGTGGTTACTAATATTTTTTTGTAACTGTGGATGTTTGCTTTGTTACCGACTATGTGGTCGATTTTTGAGAAGGTTCCATGAGCTGCAGAGAAGAAGGTATATTCTTTCCTATTTGGGTGGAATGTTCTATAGATGTCTGTTAAGTTCATTTGATTCATTACCTCCATTAATTCTCTTATTTCTCTGTTAGGTTTCTGTCTGTTTGACCTGTCCATTGGTGAGAGAGGAGTGTTCAAGTCTCCTACTATTAGTGTGTGCATTTAATGGCTGCCTTGAGTTTTAGCAATGTTTCTTTTATGTACGTGGGTGCTTTTAAATTAGGGGCATAGATGTTCAGAATTGAGACTTCATCCTGCTGAACTGTTCCTGTTATGAGTATAAAATGCCCCTCTCCATCTCTTCTGATTGATTTAAGTTTGAAGTCAACTTTGTTAGAGATTTGTATGGCCACACCTGCTTGTTTCTTAGGTCCATTTGCTTGATAAGCCTTTTCCCAGCCCTTTACTCTGAGTAGGTGCCTGTCTTTGTGGTTGAGGTGGGTTTCTTGTAAACAGCAGAATGTTGGATCCTGTTTTCGTATCCAATCTCTTAGCCTGTGCCTTTTAATAGGTGAGTTGAGTCCATTGACATTAAGTGATATTAATGAGCAGTGGATGTTAACTCCGGTCATTTTTTTAGTCGTAGAGTTTGTGTGTTTCCCTTCTTTGATTTGTGTTGGTGAAGGGTCTCTAGATGTCTGAGTTATTGTGGTCATTGTTGGACTCCTTGGTTAGTGATTTTCCTTCTATTACTTTCTGTAAGGCTGGATTTGTGGCTGCGTATTGTTTAAATTTGTTTTATCCTGGAAAATTTTATTTTCTCCATTTATAGTGAACGAAAGCTTGGCTGGGTATAGTAATCTGGGCTTGCATCCATGGTCTCTTAGTTTCTGAAGTACATCTATCCAGGACCTTCTGGCTTTCATGGTTTCCATGGAGAAGTCAGGTGTAAGTCTGATAGGTTTACCTTTATAAGTAACTTGGCCTTTTTCCTTTGCAGCTCTTAATATTCTTTCCTTATTCTGTATGCTTTGTGTTTTGATAATTATATGGCGAGGGGATGTTCTTTTTTGATCCAGCCTATTCGGTGTTCTGTATGCTTCTTGAACCTTCATAGGTATATCTTTCTTTAGGTTGGGAAAGTCTTCTTCTATAATTTTATTAAATATATTTTCTGGACCATTGAGCTGCACTTCTTCTCCTTCTTCTACTCCTATTATTCTTAGGTTTGGTCTTTTTATTGTGTCCCATATTTCCTGAATATTTTGTGATGAGAGTTTGTTGGACTTGCTGTTTTCTTTGATCAGAGTGTTTATTTTCTCTATGGTATCTTCAGAATCTGAGATTCTTTCTTCTATCTCTTGTATTCTGTTGGTTATGCTTGTTTCTGTAGACTCTGTTTGTTTACTTAAATTTTCCATGTCCAGCCGGCCCTCTGTTTGTGTTTTCTTCTTTGCCTCCATTTCAGTTTTCAAGTCTTGCACCGTTTCCATTATCTGTTTGATTTTTTTTTCTTGGTTTTCTAGGGTATCATTCACTGATTTATTCAGATCTTCAAACTTTCTGTTATATTTCTCATCCATTTCTATAAGGGCATTTTTTACATGCTCTTTAAGGGCGTCAATCACTTTCATGAAGTCAACCTTTTCTACTTCTTCTTGATTAAGGTGTTCATGTCCTCCCGTTGTGGGGTAGCTGGTTTCTGGTGGCTTCATGTTGCTTTTCAGCTTGTTGGGCGAATTCTTGCCTTGGCGTCTACCCATCTCTTCTTCCAAATGCTCCCTTATGGATCTTCTTTACCGGATCAGGTCACCTTGCCTACCCAATGCTGGATCTCCCCAACGTTGTCTCTCCTCAACGCTGGGTCTCCCCAAGGCTGGGTCTCCTGGCGCCGAGAGATCAGGCCTCCGTGCCCAATGCTGGGTCTCCTGGCGCCGAGAGATCAGGCCTCTGTGCTGGTGGGCAGTTCGCAAACAAAGCGCCTACCCTGCTTGGTGCAGGCAGGCCATAGAAACAAAGAGACTCCCGCCCGCTTGGGTGCCCTGAGGATTCGGACCCAGTGCCCAGAACGGCTGGGCTGGGTGATGTTATGTGCAGAAAGAGGACAGTGGGGCAAATTGGGGAGGGTTCCGGATGGGAGCTGGGTGGGCTAGCTTGACAGATTTTCATATGTTGAACCATCCCTGCATCTCTGGGATGAGTCAACATGATCATGGCGTTTTTTTTTTTTTTTTTTTTTTTTTTTTAATGTTTTGTTGGATTTGGTTTGCCAGTATTTTACTGAGTATTTTGGCATCAATGTTCATAAAGGAGATTGGTCTGTAAATTCTCTTTTTTGCATCTTTATGTGTTTGCATTTTATGGTTTGGGTACCATAAAAAGAATTTGGTAAAGTCTTTTCTATTTATATTGTGTGGAACAATTTAAAGAGTATTGGTATTAGCTCATCTTAGGTATTTGAAATTCTGGTAGAATTCTGCACTAAAACCATCTGGTTCTGGGCTTTCTTTGGGGACAGGGAGGCTTATGGTGATGGCTTCTATTACCTTTGGGGTTACAGTCTATTTAAAATTTTTACCTGGCTTAATTTAATTTTGGTGTGTAGTGCCTATCCAGAAAATTGTTCATTTTTCTTACATTTTCCAAGTTTGTGGAATACAGATTTTCAAATGATTCTTTGGATTTCCTTGGTGTCTCTTGTTATATCCCCCTTTTCATTTCTGATTTTATTAATCTGTACAATCTTTTTCTGCCTTTCAGTTAATTTGGATAAGAGTTTGTCTATCTTGTTGATTTTCACGAAAAACCTACTCTTTGTTTCATTGATTCTTTGAATCATTTTCTTTGTTTCTATTTTATTTATTTCAGCCCTCAATTTGACTTTTTTCTTGGCATTTACTCCTCCTGGGTGAGACTAATTCTTTTTGTTCTAGGGCTTTCAGGCATGCTGTTAAGTCACTTGTGTGAACTTTTTTTCCATTTTCTTTATATGGGCACTTAGTGCTATGAACTTTACTCTTAGCACTGCTTTCATAGTGTCCCCTAAGTTTGGATACATTGTGCCTTCATTTTCGTTGAATTCTAGGAAGTCTTTAATTTCTTTATTTCTTCCTGACCTAGTGATGATTCAGTTGAACATTGTTCAATTTCTATGAGTTTGTAGGCTTTGTAGTCTCTTAGTGAATGCAGAATGTGTGTCCAGGACCTCTGACTTTCATGGTTTCCAGTGCGAAGTTGGGTATAATTCTGATGTCTGCTTTATATCTTACCTGACCCTTTTCCTTTGCAGCTCTTAATATTCTTTCTTTATTGTGTATGTTTTGTGTTCTGGCTATTATATGTCAAGTGAACTTTTTTTTTGGTTCAGTCTATTTGGAGTTCTGTAAGCTTCTTGTACCTTCAAAGGGCTATCATTTCAGTTAGGTAAGTTTTCTTATATAATTTTGTTGAATATATTTTCTGTGTCTATGAGCTGGAATTCTTCTCTTTCTACACCTATTATTCCTAAGTTTGGTCTTTTTATGTTGTCCCAGATTTCCTGTATGTTTGGGGTAAAGAATTTATTAGATTTAATGTTTTCTTTAACTGATGAATATATTTTCTCTATTGTAACTTCAACTCCTGAGAATCTCTCTCTTCCATCTCTTGTATTCTGTTGGTTATGCTTGCATCTATAGTTGTTAATCATTTACCCAGATTTTCCATTGCCAGAATTCTCTTGGTTTGTGTTCTTTTATTGCCTCTATTTTCAAATCTTGAACTGTTTGCTTCACCTGTTTGATTGTTTTTTCTTGATTTTCCTTGGCTTTCTCAAAGGTATTTATTTCTTCTCATTTTCTGTTTGTCTTTCCCTCCATTTCTTTCAGGGACTTTTTTGTTTCCTATTTAAGGACCTCTATCACCTTCATAAAGTTATTTTTAATATTGTTTTCTGTTGCATTTACGTTGGGGTGTTCAGGTCTTGCTGTTGTAGAACCACTAGTTTTTTGTGGTGCCGTATTGTTCTTTATGTTGTTGAATGTGTTCTTACACTGCTGTCTACCCATTTCTTCCTCCAGTTGTTAGAGGTGGTGTCTGTGGCTCCAGTGGTCACTTTCTCTAGGTATAAGTTGTGCCTGTGGCTCTGGTGGTCCCTGATGCAGTAGGGAATGATGGGGTTGGTAGGATCCTGGTTTCTGAGGGATGGGATTGGTAGGGGAGGAGCAGAGGATGTGCCCACAGGGCCTAGGGCCTGTCCTGCTAGTAGCTCAGACACTCACCTCCTTCTTCAGTTGTAGGATGAGCCTGTGGCTCAGGTGGTAGCCAATGCACCTGGCAGGGGATGGTGGAGGTGGGTGAAGAGGATGGTGCTTCCTTGTTACTGGAGGTGCAGATATTGGGTTGGAACACAGAATGCCCCCACTGGGAGTTAGGGCTGAGAACTTAGCTGTCAGCTGGTAGCTCAGACTCTTCCCACCCCTTTTGCTTCTGCAGGATGCACCCAAAGTAGCTTTCCTGTCCACTGGGCTGTATTCTATAAACTCCACTACTGTCTGTAGCTCCTGTTACATTGCCACTGGCAGAAATTCAAAGATCATTGGAATAATTTACTCTATACTTCTTTCAAAAAATACAAGTATAAGGAGGGTTGGAGTTGCATATTTTAGATGCTACCTATAAAGTACTATGTTTTCTTTTTCTTTTACTTCTTTCTTTGAATTTTTTTTTCAATAGCCAGAACCCACAGAAGAGGACATTGAGAAAAATCCAGAGCTAAAGAAACTACAGATATATGGGGCAGGCCCCAAGATGATAGGCTTGGGCCTGGTGGCTAAAGAGAAGAGTCTGAGAAAGAAAGATAGCATACAACCAGGTAGGACTAAAGAACTAATGGGTAAAATAGTGAAGGATCATGAGAAAGTGGCTTTGTTAATCCCAATGTTGAAAGGTTTATTTTCACTTAAACTCTTTTTGTTCCTAGATAAAGAAGAAGTAACCTGTCTTCCAAGTGTTGCAGTGAAGGAGGAAGCCAGTGGGTTTGGAAAAGTGGCATCATTTCCTGAGAAGGACTTAAACCAAAATCTAAAAGCTCGTACAAAGATGACAATGCAACTACGGAATAATCACAGCAGTACCCAATTTGTAAGGATTCACCAGTGATTTTGTGATACTGTTTTGAACTATTGACATTAGAGTGAACTTAAAATCATTATTTCTTGTTTTAATTTATTTTTGTATAGTTTCATTGCTTTTATTTTATATGCTGTATATGTTATTAAAATTTATTTAGTTTTTTTGTAGCTCAGGGTGGATTCTAACATGTTATATAAGCAACTGTTACCTCATTCCACTTCCCCACTACTAGAATTATAGGTATGGAATTTGAGATGTATGGCTCTATTTTTAATTTTATGAAACCCTTACCCTTCTTATAGTTTAGTGAACTGTACTGCTCCCTTTACCCCAACATACAAAAGAATGTCAGAGCTAGAGTTCTGTAGAATAATTTGAGGTGAGGTTTGTCCTCTTTATTTAGACTTTTAATGTTTCCATGTAAAAATTTGGGATTTTTTTTTTAAGTTTTATAAAGTGTGTCATGATTTTGATAGAAATTACATTAAATTTTTAGAATGTGTTAATAGTACAGACACTTAAATAATATGGCCAATAATCAGCCTAGAAGTTCTTTTAATATTTTCACCAAGACTGTCTTCTGTGTCTTAATATTTGCAGTGTAGGACTTTCTCTTCTTTCCCATCTTCATTGGGTTTATTTTGAGACATTTTAGATTTTGAAGATGCTGTTAATTGTACATATTTGCTATGTTCTTCCTTTGAAAATTCATTGGTGTATAGAACAGTATTGATTTCTTTAGAAATATAAAATAAGACAATATCTTATCCAATGAGTATTTGCACAGTTCTGTATTTTGGAGGAAGTGTTGCCCAATTTCTTCTCAGTGTAGTGTTGTTTGTAACACTGCATGGCTTGTTCTTCATTATGTTGAGGTATATTTTTTTTCTTCCTTGTTTCTTCAAGAATTTTATTATGAGGGCACATTAAACTTGTTAAATGCCTTGTTCTCCTTGTGAGATGGTTCTTTCATATATGAATTTGAGACTGTTTCAGTGTTGTTTTAAATTAATTGGTTTGTATATGATCAATTAACCTTTTATTCCTAGATGAAATAGTAATGAAATATGATCTTCTTAATATAGTTTTCAATTTAATATTCAAGTATTTTATTGAAAACTTTTACATCTATGTTTGTAAGAATAACCTACAGTTCTTATTGTAGTTCTGTGACCTTATGCAGTTTTGCTATCAGAATAATTCAGGACTCAAGTATTCCTTCATTTCTCTTTTATAGAATAATTCAAGAAGTGCTGATATTAGATGTTCTTTAAGTGTTCAGTAATATTTGACAATGAATGTGTCTGAATTTTTTTTTATAGTGAGAATTTTAGTTACTGCTTACTCATGTTGATTGGGAGATTATTTATTTTAATGACTTAATTTTAGACTGTGTTTCTTAATTATACAGATTTTTATGGTATTTTGAATCATAAATTTGCAAAATAGTCCTTCATGATTTTCTAGATTTTATTAGAATCCATTGTAATAACTCCATTTTTATCTCTACTGTTATTAGTTTGGATCTTCTTCATTTTTTTAGTGTAAGGATTTGTCCATTTTAGTTTTTCCAAAAAAAAAATCAATTATTTTTTAAGTTGTTTTATTTACTCTTAGTTTCTATTTTATCAGCTTATTTTGTAATCTTTCCATTTGCTGTATTTGTAGTTTATTCTCTTAGTTTTTCAAGAATCTTGAGGTGTATCAGTGAGGTATTTAATTAGAGATCTCTGTTTTGTTTTCCTTTTGAGTTTGTACTGTGAATGTGTAGATTTGTTTGCAGGTGTGTGTGTGTGTTGTGTGTGCCACCTTATTTTTTGAGACGTGAATATCATTTCTCCCATTAATAGATTGACTGGCCAGAAAGATCTGGGGTTTGGCCCACTTTTTCCTTTTCCTCTTGGAACTATCTAACCAATCTGTCCCTCATATATACAAGCTTTAAGTCAAGTTTTATTGACCAAAATTCATTTTAAAAGCTTGTGGTCTGGCACTTAGCTCCTCTCTGATTTTTTTTTCTTTTTTAACATGTAAGTTCTTATAACTATAAACTTTTCTCTATAAATTGATTTATCTGTATCACAGAGGTTGTAGTCAGTTGTACTGTCATTTTCACTTGATTCGAGATCTTGTTTAAATTTCCATGATTTCTTTAATGACCTGTGGTTTATTTGAAAGTATATTAGTCTCCAATACTCTCGTAGTTTCTGTGCTTTTGCTTTGTTTTTTAAACTTGGGGTTTTGTTTTGTAATTTGGGTGTTTGCCTGCATGTATAACTGTGCACCATGTAGTTACATGGTGCTCATGGAGGTCAGAAAAGAGCATTGCATTGCTTTAGAACTGTGAATACAGATGGCTATGAACCATCTTGTAAATGCTGGGCATGTGAATCCCAGGGCTTCTGAAACATCAACCAGTGTTATTATCTCCTGAGCCACTTCTGTAGCTCCTATGTGCTCTCTCTTGCTATTGATTTCTGATTTTATTCCACTAAGTTCTATTAAGCCACAAGGTATTGTGTCAACATCTTTTTTGTATTTGTTTAGTCCTGATGTAATGCTGATAATGTGATTGATTTTAGAGGTGGCTCCATATACAACAGAGATGAATTGTAGGTATCTGTTAATTAAATTGTTATTTAACACATAAGTTCTGTACTTTTTTCCTTGTTTGTTTAGAAAGCCTATCAAAAGAAAAGAGTTGACTACTCAAATTCCACACAATTATTACTTCAGACTTAACCTTTTAAACCTTTAAAAGAACTGTTTGTTTTCTGAATTCGAAAACATCACAGTTTAGTATAAAAATATGTACAGTTGTTTTAAATTCTTGGTGAATTCTTTTACTAGTATATAGTGACTGTTTTTATCTTTTCTTGAAAGTTTTGTCTGAAGTTCACTTTATTAGGTATCAAAATGGCTAATTTTTTTCCAGCAAGATACAAAACTAAAACCCAACATTGTAACAAGATACAAAATTGTCAGCAATAAATAACTAAATAGTAAGTATAGAAAAATAAACAGCGTAAAAATCAGTGATATGCCTTCCATCAGTTAGTGTATTTCTTCTTAGTTGTGATGAGTTGAGGCTGAAGTCTTTATCCTTTGCCTCAAACTGCAACTCTGTTTCTGATTTTTCATGGAACTTTCCACGAATAGAACTTTATGTTACTATTTTCTAAGAAGATATATGATGGTTCGGGTAACTGATTGGGAGAATACAGCTAGGGAGTTTAGAATTTTCCAGCAAGGAATGGGGTTAAACAAGGTTCTAGGACTGAGTAAATGTGGTAGATGTTAGCAGAAGTTAGGGCTCAGAGTGCAAACCAAGCACATGGAGGGAGGATAGATGGAGCATGTTAGAAGTTTGGTGTAAAGATGATGCAGTCCATGGTCTCTAGCCTAGGGATGGGGAAAGTCAAGAATTCTTAAGATGAACTTTCCACATCATCAGGATGTTTGGGGCAATTTATTCCAAGGACTGTCCCAGAGGGTGAGAAGATCTGTTGGTTTAGTGCCCTCCTCTAAAGCGGGCAGGCCTTGGGATAGAATGGTATGTAGCTGACTGAGCAGGATCTGGTGTCTACCTGAAGAACTGAGCAGGGGTCTGTAGCAGAGATGAGTGGAGCAAGTAGAGATGGGTGAATTGGTATTGAAGAGGAGGATTTTTGGTTCCCTGAATATGGGCAAACAAGGTCTGTTGGTGGAGGTAGGTAGACTTAGCTATGTAAGTGTAAGTTGGAAGACAACCCTAGTAAATTTTATGTCACTGAATTTTTTATGTTACTTTTTGCTATGTGAGACAGAGTCGTATTATATTCCTGGCTAGCCTAGCTATGTATGTGAGTATAGTCTTGAAATTCTAATTATCCTACCTATATCTCAAGTGCTATTGTAGTGTACATGGGCATACTTAGTTTATATAGTATTAGGGATAGTACCAAAAGCTTCATGAATATGAAGTAACCATTCTGCTAAGTAAGCCACATTTTGAGCCTCACTACTGAGTTTTCTAAAAGAGGACTTCATGATTGCTTTCCAAATATCTTGAACATGATTCATTTATTAATGCATTGCTATGATTATTTAATTACTGCTATGTTTTTCACCACATAGTATACTTGAGTTTTCATATTGTATGGTTATAGGGATTCAGAATCAGTAGCCTAGAAACTTGAGAAAGGTATATAGAAGAACCAAACCATACATATTTACTTTCTTTTTCCTGGTAGGTGGATGTTTGCCGAATATGCTCTCGTGGGGATGAAGATGATAGACTTCTTCTCTGTGATGGCTGTGATGACAGTTACCACATCTTTTGCCTATTGCCACCCCTTTCTGAAGTCCCCAAGGGGATATGGAGGTGCCCAAAGTGTATCTTGGCGGTAAGAGTTGTTCATTTGAGACTTTGTTTGTTTTGGTTTTCTGAGACAGGGTTTCCCTGAAGCTTTAGAGTCAGTCCTGGAACTAACTCTTGTAGACCAGGCTGGCCTCGAACTCACAGAGATCCACCTGCCTCTGCCTCCCAAGTGCTGGGATTAAAGCTACCACCACCCACCTCATCTTAGACATTTTTATCATAACTTCTGGTCATTTTCTTTTATCTATCTTTTTGGATTGAGATGGAGTAAAATTAGTTGATAGTGAGCAGGAATAATGGGATAATAGCTGAAAGGTGGTAAATATTTAAATTAGGTAGAGAATATGATGATTCTTATATTGTGAAAATAATGGCAAAAGGAAAGAAGAATTAAACATTGAAAAAACTTGAAAATGTTTTAAAATGTGGTTTCTAATGTATATTACTAAATGCAGACTGAAAACCTTTTTATTTTTTACTCTTTCTTTCTCTCCTTTTATTTTTGTCTTACTGAATTTTTTCTTCTGTTCTTTCTCTTTTTTCTTTCCCCTTCTCTTCCCTTCTCTTCCCTTCCCTTCCCTTCTCTTTTCTTTTCTTTTCTTTCTTTGTCAGGAATGTAAGCGTCCCCCTGAAGCATTTGGTTTTGAGCAGGCTACACAGGAGTATACTTTGCAGAGTTTTGGTGAGATGGCTGATTCCTTCAAGGCTGACTACTTCAACATGCCTGTACATGTATGTGTCTGAGGGGTTAATGTCTCCTAGTGTTATGATAGCAAATTTCAGTGAGCCATGATTATCTTTTCACATCTTCTCATAGATGGTACCTACAGAAGTTGTGGAAAAGGAATTCTGGAGGCTGGTGAGCAGCATTGAGGAAGATGTGACAGTTGAGTATGGAGCAGACATTCACTCCAAAGAATTTGGCAGTGGGTTTCCTGTCAACAATGGCAAATGGAACTTATCCCCTGAAGAAGAGGTAGTGAGTGCATCTATTAATATCTAGTAAATATCTAAAAAATAAAATGACTAGAAAGAATATGTTTTCACTTAAAATCTGTCCTTATGTTCTTGCACATAGTATTGTTCTCACATGAAATTTGAAACTACACAGATCACTTGACAATATTTTCGTAGCCACTGTCAGCTACTGTCAGTTTTTTCTTCTTTTGTTTTTGGAGACTAACATACCATGATTATCAGTTAAGGAGTTGTAATATTAACATTTCCTTATATGTGAATATTGAAACTTCACCCTTTTTTATCAGTGTAGTAAAGAAAAACATTTTGTTTGTATTTATACTGTTTTCTCCTTTTATTAAAAATAAATTCTTTTCTCCTACATTATATCCTGATTATAGTTTCCCCATCATCTACTCCTTTCACTTAGTCCCCACATCTTCTCCCCTCCACTGTCTTTCTGTCTGTCATTAGAAAAGAACACACTTCTGAGAGATAACAACCTAATATGACAAGATATAATAATTTAAAACAAAAACAATCATAAAAACTGGACAAGGCAACTCCAATAGGAAGAGAAAAGCACCAAGAACAGACTCAAGACTGGAGATCCACTCATTCACATATTCAGGAATTCTATAAAAATACTAAAATGAGCCGGGCGATGGTGGCGCACGCCTTTAATCCCAGCACTCGGGAGGCAGAGGCAGGTGGATCTCTGTGAGTTCGAGACCAGCCTGGTCTACAGAGCTAGTTCCAGGACAGGCTCCAAAGCCACAGGGAAACTCTGTCTCTAAAAACCAAATAAATAAATAAATAAATAAAAAATAAAAAAAAATACTAAAATGGAAGCTCTGATATATTACTAGATAACCTAATGTACACCCTGTGTTTGCTGCTGCAGACTCTGTGAGTTCCTCGGCACTTGGCTTAGTTGATTCAAAGGATGTTGTTCTCTTGGTGTCCTCATGCCTCTGGCTCTTAAACACTCTTTGCAGGATTCCCTCAGTACCATGGGGGAAGGATTTGATAGGGACATTCTGTTTAGATATGTGTGTTCTAATGTTTGTATGTATATTGTCTGGCTCTTGGTTTCTGTTTTTGTTCCCATTTTTGCTACAGGAGAAAGCTTCTTTTTTATGATTGAGCAAGGGACTGATCTGTGAGTATAGCAGAATATCATTAGGAGTCTGGTTTTTTTTTTCCCTTGTATATACTTTTCTAACTTTTGTTTTTGTTTGTTTTTTTTTTCTTTCATATATTATATCATGGCCGCAACCCTGCAGTGTGTTGTCATTACCCCTCCCTCCATAGTCTTCCTTCAGAAAAGAGAAGCCCCTCCAGGGACATTAACCAGACATGACATAATATGCTGCAATAAGACTAGGTACATACCATTATATCAAGGCTGGACTGGGCCACTCAATAGAAGGAAAAGTGTCCCTTAAGTAAGCCAGAAAGAGTCAGAGACAGCCCGTGCTCCCACTGTTGGCAATCCCAAAAGAACATCAAGCTACTCAGCCATAACATATATACAGAGGACCCAAGTCAGACCTCTGCAGGCTTCCTGATTCCTGTAAGCCCCCATGAGTCTCTGTCAATTGATTTTTTTGGACTGTGTTCTTGTAATGTCCCTGAACCCTTTAGTTCCTTAAATCTTTCCTCCTTTTCCACTGAACTCCTTGAACTCTGCCTAAAGTTTGACTGTGGGACTCTGCATCTGCTCCCATCAATTGTTAGATGAAATCTCTATGTTCTCTTTGATGAGGATTTTGCTAGGCTGCAATCCCAGAACATTCTGCAGGGAGGACAAACTGTAGGTTGAAGGTTTTGTGACTGGATTATTGTCCCAGTCCCTCCACTTGAGGCCTTACCTGGATACAGACGATAATCAGTTCAGATTCCACATTTCCCATTACTTGGAGCCTTTGCTAGGGTCTTGCTCATAGATTCCATGGAATTTTCATAGCACAAGGTTTCCATCTCACCCCAAAGATGTCCTCCAATTCCAGTTGTTTCTCCCATTATGCATCAGGAGAATTTTTTTGTTTTTATTTTTAACTACTAGTATTTAGTTTTACCTTAGATCTTTGGGCTATCTAATCTTTGATTCTTAGTCACTGAAGGGGTGTTAGGAAAGTGTTCTGTCTTGTGGAGTGGACCATAAGTCAGATCAGGTGTTTGTTGTTTACTCACACAAGCTTTTTTTCACCATTGCCCTAGCATATTTTGTAGGTTATGATATCATTGTTGATGAAAGGGTTTGTGACTGATGTGGTGCTTACCTTTTTTGTTTGATAGCCTGCAAAGTATCTTCCTATACCAAATACATTAGAATGTAGGAATAAATTTGTTGACAAAGTTTTCTGTCCTGCCCAGTTCCCACAGTTAATAAGTCACAAAGAAATCATACAGAGGTCTGTTGTGAGAACTCCTTTTGCTCCTTTAACCAATAGCCCTGGGGTGTGGTCTCTTTCTCTTTAAAAAGCAACAGTAGCCCTCTGGTCTCTCTCTTGCTTCAGCGACTAGATTCCTTTCCTGGCTGTTGTGTAGGACAAGAATGGATATGGAGTGGGAGGAGAAGTTTCTATTGCTATAAGACTAAGAGAAAAAAAAAAAAAGACTAAGAGTAAATCTGGAGAAATTGGAATGGAGAATAGGAGGGATATCAAAAGTCTCCACTTTCAGCATTGGGAATTGCTGGTAAAATGTGTTTCTGAGAATTCATGACTGACAAAAGAATAAAGATGAGCTAGAAGGAAAACCTGAGAGGGTTGGTGGGAAGGCTGCTTTGAAATTTCTAATTGAAGCTGGGTGGTGGTGGCACACGCCTTTAATCCCAGCCCTGGGGGAGGCAGAGGCAGGTGGATCTCTGTAAGTTCAAGGCCAGCCTGGTCTACAAGAGCTAATTCTAGGACAGGCTCCAAAACCACATAGAAACCCTGCCTCGAAAAACCAAAAAAAAAAAAAAAAAAGTCTAATTGATATTTCATAAAAATTCTAAAGTTCATGACTTTGTGGCAGTCTCCCCAAATTTACTAATATATCTGGTTTTAAAGCACAACAAATAAAACATTATATCTTAGTAGTTTGGTGATTTTTGAAGTATCCTGTGGAAAGTATTTAGTTTACTATATACTAATACTTGAGTAGAATTTTAGACCCATATATGTATGTGTATGCATATAAGTAATTCATATAAGATAATAATATTATATTGCTAAGATTAAAAAATAATTAGTTACCAATATGTTGACTATTAAAGAGAATATCTTAGATATGATAGATGACAAATGGGATAAAAAGACTTTATATTAACATTTAGAAAATGGTACTTTACTTATTTCTGGGTCATATTAACCTTCATATTTTATGTGATAATGCTTTTTCTTCCTTGAAAGAAAATTTATACCTAAAAATCATACATACACTTCCTAAGTGACCACAGGTTATAGGAAACATATATGTTCTAAGAACACTGTTATTTTTGTCTGTAGATCTAGCTCATTTTTCCTTCTTAGTTTAAGCCTTATATCTACAATGTATCTCTGGCCCAACAGGAGTATGCTACCAGTGGTTGGAATCTGAATGTGATGCCAGTGCTGGACCAGTCTGTTCTCTGTCACATCAATGCAGACATCTCAGGCATGAAAGTGCCCTGGTTATATGTGGGCATGGTTTTTTCAGCATTTTGTTGGCATATTGAGGATCACTGGAGTTACTCCATTAACTACCTGCACTGGTGAGTGAGACACCAATGCCTGGGATGAATATCATGACACCACCTGTATACAAGAATATATCTACACTCCATATATCTCTTCTATCTGAGCAGGGGTGAACCAAAAACCTGGTATGGGGTACCTTCTCTGGCAGCAGAACACTTGGAAGAGGTTATGAAGAGACTGACACCTGAGCTGTTTGACAGCCAACCTGACCTCCTACACCAGCTTGTCACTCTCATGAATCCGAACACTCTCATGTCACATGGAGTACCAGTGAGTAACTGGAAATGAGGGTTCAGGGAAAATGCAGTTCCTTAGACACAAAAATAAAGGTAAAAGGGATAAAAAAGACCAGTTGTAGAGAAACAAAATTATTTGTATTTTTTGAGTATTTAAGAGAACATCACATAATGTAATTGTCTTTCAGTGCTTATCTAAGGTTATAGAGGAAGAAAAATATGAAAGGTTGGATTATTATTTAACACCACAAAAACTATCTTAACATATTCTAGAACCAGTTTGTCATAATATTATTGAGCATAAATTCTAATTATAAAATCTCATCAGGATATGTTGAAATTGCACTGTAGATTTTGGCAATTTAGTTATTTTATATCAGCTTGTTTTACAGAACTTTATGGAAAACAAAATACTCTATTTTGAAATATTTTGCACTTTTCCAGTTCAGATTTCTATTTGCTCTGTTTTTTTTTTCCTATATACAAATGCATAGCTATTTTAGTTTATTCTATCTGAACCAACCAGACATGGAACTTTTAATGTTTCCTTCTTGTTGTAATTTTTTGTTTGTTTGTTTTTTGTTGTTGTGGGTTTTTTGTTTTTGTTTTGTTTTGTTTTTTGAGACAGAGTTTCTCGGTAGCTTTGGAACTTGTCTTGGAACTAGCTCTGTAGATCAGGTTGGCCTTGAACTCATAGAGATCCACCTGCCTCTGCCTTCCAGTGCTGGGTGTGTACCACCACCACCCAGGTATATTTTCCTTCTTAATTTTATTCATTTTACAGAAAAAAATCCTGAATATCAGTGAACAGTCATTCAGGTTTATAATGTAACAGTGTTTATAAAATTTTCTTGTATATGTTTAGCATATACTTCCATGCTTAGATTTTTTTTTAAGTTTATAGGTAAACGTTATCAGTTTAATAATTATGTTTTTCTATTGAAACTTTATCATTTAATGTATCAGGCATTCTATCAGATCCTACTGATCTTAATTCTTGTGACCAGTTTTACTTTTTCTGATACTTCAAGAATCATCTACCTTTAATTGGTTACTATTCTTTAAGTATACTGTGACTTTCAACTACTGAATTAGGTATACATGTGAGACCATTCTCCTATGAAATATACACATCACACAAAAGATTCCTAGCAAAGTCAGGCATGTGACTTAGGCTTCTGATTCTAACTCTCAAAAATTCTAAAGAACACAATATAGAGATCTTTGTAGGCAACATAGTGATACTAACATAGAAAAAGTAAAAATATCAAAAAGTAATAAAATAAGTTGGTGGTATTTAAATCCTGAGTGTGGGAGGCAGAGACAGGCAGATCTCTGGGTTTGAGACCAGCCTGGTCTACAAGAGCTAGTTCCAGGACAGATAGGGCTACACAGAGAAACCCCATCTAAAAGAATAATAACAATAATAATAAAGAAGAAGAAAATTATAAAAAAAAAAACCCAGAAATTGTCCATAAAGTGAAATGTTCAATACATTTAACAACTTATTTGAATAAGAAGAATTAGCAACTATCTTTGTAACAAAATTGGTCTATGAAGTATAGGTATAAAACAAACAAAAAGACCTATAGTCCTAGAAAATTGTGGTTGTCATCCAGTGTAACAATCTATTTTAAAAATGAGGAAGGGAAATAATAAGTGAAATAAAAGAAATAATAAATGAACAATTTTTGATGGCTTCTGGGAAAGAACTGGTTTTTTAAGGGTATGAGCTCTAGTAGGTTGATCATAAGCTATATTTTATATAAAATAAACAAATTAGCTGACTGTGTGCTTATGCTTGGTTTGATGCAGAGCAAGAGCAGCCAATCACCAGGACAGATGATCACGATAGCTTATGGAAGAGTTCAGGGATGTTAGGACTGAGATTTGAAGCAAATCGCACATGTTCTTTGCTCTAGGAGCAGTCAGTGCAAGAACAGCCTTTCCTATCTCTAAAAATATTTCCCAGTGGATAAACTGTTAAGAAAACATGTTTGTGTTCACACTTTGAATAGAAATATTAATATTTAGATTCTTCTTGAATGTTGCTTTTTAATCAGGGGACTAAATTCTAATTTTGAGTTTTTGCAAAAGAATGACCCCAGTCAGGGCACTGGGTTACCTACCCCTTAGCAAAAAAAATGAGCAAGAATTCCACAGAGCCTGCTCAGACAGGCTGAGTCAGCTACTCAGGACAGTGCTGGGAATAAAGGTAGGCTTTCCACACAGGTTTCTTCTTTTCTTTCAGTATTAAGGGGTAAGCATGTTAGAAGCATTAAAGGCCCATTGAAGGAAAACTGTTTCTTCTGGTCACAAAAATGAATCTCTGGTTTGGGTGAGATCTAATGTTGCAGCTAGGCTGAAAGGGAGAAGGAAGAAAAGAACATAGATATTCACAAAAGATCACCTATTTTAAGAGTATATTTTTAAGAAATAGAGAGTAAATTCATAGAGACTAAAAGTCCAAACAGCACCTACTGTTTCTAGCTTGCAGTGCACTGAGGTTCTTAGATATCCACTACTTAAAGCTGGGAAATTGTTTGTTTATGAAGTGTGAGGACAATTTTATTTAAATTTAAAAAATCTTAGCAGTTGCCAGGAAGATGTAGAAGAAGAAAAGAGAAAGCCTGGGTGGCAGAAGTTGAGCCCACCTTCCTGATGTTTCTACATATATGTTTGTTTTTAATGATGATCAAGACTTGTGTTCTCAGTATTATTTTAATAATGGTGAAAAGTGAACTACACATTCATGTTTTGACTTGCATTTCACTAATTATGTAAAGTATTAATTACCAATCTCAGCACTCCCACAGGGCTATGCCAAGGGAAAATTGCCTTGGGAACTGTGAGCTGAGGGGTAGAACAAATTGACTGACTCAGGCATGTTTTTCCTGCATGTATGTTTATTTCTTGGGGAAAAATGAATAAAAGAGAGCCATTATCTACAAGACTTTAAGTTTTTATATTAGGCATACAGACATGTTAGCTATTCCATAGGTAGTAACAATAGTATCAAACATACATTTCACAGAATCACAAAAACCTGTGGATTTTGCAAGGAGGCACATTACATCTCAGAGGAGGCATGGCTGTGACAGCTCCCCTGCAGATATCGAGAGGATCAATTAAAAACAGGACCTTTTAAATCACTACAGAATTCTAAGAGGAAGTTTTTGTGCACTAACTATATTTCTTCAGTATAACTAGAAGTTTATGATTATTTGCAGAAGAATGTAGCAGCGCTATTGCATTCTCTGGGTATTTTCACTTTCTTCCTATACTGTTTTAGTAGCCATGGTAACCTGAGGGCTTGATTTGCCTTAACATCTAGCTGGCTGAGTAAAAAGGGGATCTCTTGGGCTTTACTTTTGATTTTAGCAAGGTGCATGCCAGTACCCAAGTGAGAATTGATTTCCTGAGTTTGCTGTTAGACAGACAGATAGGCCCCTTCCTTGTTGAAGAATCCAGTTAGAAAAAAAAAAAAAAAAAAAAAGAATCCAGTCAGTAAAGACAGTTGTGGGAGATTAGTTTTATGTTGACTTTTGGTTATGAGAACAAAGACTTGACTGAGTGTATTCTTTTCACACTGTGGTTTCATGGTGTCGGGATGTATCCAGTTGCCAACAGGCAAGGTCAAATTTATATACTCTAGAAGGGAGAAATGACATAATTTCACAAGATTTCTGCAGAATTGACAGGGATTTATTCAAAAGGCAGGTGTCCATGCAGCTCTGCAAAATGAGTTCTTTACAATATTATATATTTTGAGAATTTGTCTAGTGGTTTGTCAGCTGTATTTTTGTTGTATAATGGTTGTGGGCTCACCACAGTAAAGAATATTTTCATTTGCTTGACCAATCTAATATCTATATTCTTTTGTGTGTTTAATTAGCTTTGATCATCTAGCACTTCAGCAGATTTTCTGAAACAAAATCTGACTTTTCCATTGAGTCTTTCAGATAATTCCTGTTTTAAGAAGTGATTTAAATGTGGTTTGTTAAATTACTTTAGCCATTACAATCTGTATGAGCACAATGTGAAAGTCAGAGATTTTAAGAGCTGAAAATCTTTTCTTTTTTGCCTTTCCTTTAAATTCTCTTATCATTTTGCTTTATACTTTCTTCTAAGTGTATCTCTTTTTGTCTTCACAATCTCATTTTTGTTTTTCAGTCATACATTTGAAGATAGTTTTTATTTCTACTGTTGCCCTTTTGAAGTCCGTAACAGAATTCAGTGGCATTCATAAGTTAATATGCATCATCAATAGTTCTGACTACTCCTGATTTTTCTTCTATTTTTCAGGTTGTTCGTACAAACCAATGTGCAGGGGAATTTGTTGTTACTTTCCCTCGTGCTTACCACAGTGGTTTTAACCAAGGATATAACTTTGCTGAGGCAGTGAATTTTTGCACTGCTGATTGGGTAAGTCTAGGTGTGGTGGACCTTCAGGTAAAAAGGCATAAAGGATATGAATAGGGGTCATTGTGGAGAAACTACACTTAATGATTTCTCCAGGTAGCCATACACAATCTTTGAACACACAGCTACCTGCTGGACGCCAGTGTATTGAACACTACCGCCGCCTCCAGCGTTATTGTGTCTTCTCCCATGAGGAGTTAATCTGCAAGATGGCTGCATTCCCAGAGAAGCTGGATCTGAATCTAGCAGTGGCAGTTCACAAGGAGATGTTCATTATGGTGCAGGAGGAGCGACGTCTCCGAAAGGCCTTGTTGGAGAAGGTGGGTGGTAGAAACCAGGGCTAAGGAATCATCAAACATACTGTGATAGAGACACAGACCAATTTTGAGTAAGCACTTTATACCTTATCTTTAATTCATGCTATTGGAAATGTCAGGGCAGAGACTGTATGTGTTTATGTGTTTTTCTTCCAATTTCTCTACAGCTATCCTTACAAGCTTACGTCCACAGCAGGGCTCAGTATTGGCTGTGGTGGGGTGTCCACAACCCTGCCCCTAGTCTTTACAGTATATGTGGGTTGAACACCCCCAGGGCGTCACGGAAGCTGAACGAGAAGCCTTTGAGCTGCTCCCAGATGATGAGCGTCAGTGCATCAAGTGTAAGACCACGTGTTTTCTATCAGCCTTGGCCTGTTATGACTGCCCAGATGGTCTTGTCTGCCTTTCTCACATCAATGATCTTTGTAAGTGCTCAAGGAACCGACAATACTTACGGTGAGTATGGGTCCTATATAAAAGAAATAGAGGAAATTCAGATCTAGTCTACATAATTCTTTTTCCGGTCTTCCTCCAGGTATAGGTATACATTGGATGAATTGCCTGCTATGCTACAAAAGCTGAAGATTCGGGCTGAGTCTTTTGACAACTGGGCCAACAAAGTACAAGCAGCTCTAGAGGTAGAGGATGGACGGAAACGCAGTGAGTAATAGAAATGGAAGAACCTTTAACCAAAGTGTATCAGCTTTTAGAAAATTCTTTTCTGTTTTCCTGTAATACTGTCTCACAACTTGGACTCTTTGTTTTCTTTTTTAGGTTTTGAAGAACTAAGGGCATTGGAATCTGAAGCTCGTGAAAGACAATTCCCTAATAGTGAACTGCTTCAACGACTGAAAAACTGCCTAAGTGAGGCAGAGGCTTGTATTTCCCAAATTCTTGGACTAGTCAGTAACTCAGATGATAGGTATGTTAGAAAAGCAAACAAAATTGGGAATTTAGTGGTAGAATCCTTGTCCAACAATTGCTAGTCCTGGGGCAGTCATGAGCTTCAAGAAGAAAGATAAGAAAAGAAGAAAAGGTGGGCAACTATATAAAAATTAGTAACAAAAATCTATGTAAGCTAAAATGGAATTCTTGTAGCAACAATTTGTATGTAGTATTTAGCCAGCTGGAATTCAAAACTAAATAGTTTTCTTATAAGAGGAAGGATCTCTGGTCTAGAGAGATGATGACTCATTTTAAGAGAGCGTTTCCAGATGTCCAGAGTCAGGTCTCATTGGAATAACTTCTAAGTGCCTCTAACTCCAGGAGATATGACACATCTGGTTTCGACATGTATCCCCACACAAATGGCATATACTCTCAATCGGACTCACATAAAATTTTTAAAGTTTTTAATTTTAGAAAGAAGAAACTCAATACTGGGCAAATGTTTTGTGAAGAATTAGAATATAATAGAAAAAGTGCAATCTGAACTAGGAATTTTAGAAATATATTTCAATACCTTACTATACATGGCAGTGAAAACAAAAGATACCCTATATGTTAGCAAATCTTGCAATTTGTTAGGATCAGGATTTATCTACAGCTCATTTTTGCCTGAGTCTTTAGGTAAAATGTGTGTGTGTGTGTGTGTGTGTGTGTGTGTGTGTGTGTGTGTGTGTGTGTGTGCGCGCGCGTGTGTGTGTGTGTGTGTGTATAAGTAAGCAAGTAATACATATGGAGACCAGGGGACAACCTAAATTATTCCATAGTCACTGACTATCTTGGAGTTTTTTTGTTGTTTTGAATAAAAGACACTTTAATTTTTTTTTTCATCTTGTTTTGTTGTATTTTCTAGTTAGGTCTTGGTTTCAGCTTAAGCACTCATTGTTTATATCTTCAGGTTGAATTCTCAAGTAAAAGATTGTCTTCATGATTTCAGCAGCCTTTGTAATTTTCTGTACAGTCTTCTTAAGCCCTTTCTCCTTGATTTCATAGAGTTGTGTTTTGCTGCATCTTTCTTGAATTCTATGAGAAGGTTTATGGCTATTCCTTTAAGTTTAGTATTCTAGAGTTCATCTAGCTAATTCTTTGTGGCAGCATTTTACCAGATGGGTACCTTTTGGAGGAAGGGTTCTGACCTGATCTTTAACGTTGTTGGTATTCTTGCAACACAATCATAGCCTGTGGCCTTCATTTGTTATGGACTTCATTTGTTAGTTCTGAATTTGCTGCAGATAAAATACAGCATGAGGAAGAAGAGACAGTTTGGGTAGGGTTTAAGTCTAGAGGTTGGAAGTGACTTGGGGGGCAGGATGAAGTAACGCAGACTGAGGAGATTGGTCTTGTGTACAGGATGTGCTTACTCTTCCAAGCTGGAGTGTGGCAGTACATCTCTGGGAGGAAAGATTGGATATGGTCTGAGAGTCGGCAGGTTAGGGGATAAGTAGGGGGAACCTGGTGCAAGGCCATCTCTATTTTGCAGTGAAGGCAAGAAAGGCCAGACTAGGCAGACACCCTGCTTGTAGGACCCAGGCTAACTCTAGTCAGCTGTGGGGAAGGCACTGATAGGGCAGTCAGGGTACTCACCAGGCTAGATCCTAGAGAAGGATGTAGAAAGTCTGGATACCTAATGAGGTGTTGGAGGAAAAAAGAAGGGACCTGTGAGTAGTGGTTGCATGGAGGGTGGTTCCTGGCAGAAGTCTAGAGCTTGACTGAGATGAAGGTTGGGGTGCTCAGAACAGGCTGGAGCACTGGCTGTGGGACCTTTCAGAAACTTGAAGGTTGGTTATAGCATAAATATGAGTGGCTAGAAAAGACCAGGACACTGGTTGTGGTACCAACACTGAATCTGGTCAGGTTTGGGAAAAAAAGATAGCATTCAGGCTAGACACTGGAGAAGGATGTGGGAAGCCTGAGTATGGAGTAGAGTGGTGGTGAGGGTACCATCTCCTTCAATTTTAGTAGTGTTTTTGACTATAAGAGTCTAGGTTGGCAACTATAATCTTTTAGAATTTAGACTATACCTTTCTTACTTTAAAAGTTTCCATTGAATAATGTTTTGTTCTGTTGGACCTGCCTTTTATTTAATTTGACTTGTTTTCTGTTTCTTGAAATTTTTCTTTATTTCTTATTTTTAATCATAGCATATCAGTGGAGTTTCTTTTTTGTCTTATTTGCTGTTCTGCAGACCTTTTGTACATGGATAAGCATCTCTTCCAAGAATTGGAAAACTTCCATGATTTTACATAAAATGTATTTTATGCCTTTTACAGTATGGTACTTTTCTATATCTATAATACATATTCTACGTTTTTTGATGTTGCTCAGAACCTTCCCATATTTCATTCATTGTTTATTTTTACATCTTTATTTGATCTCTACAAAGATTTTTTGATACCTGTTTTCATCTTTATTTGTCTCTCTGCTTCTGATTTTCAGAAGATGAACTTTTGAGGGTATAATAGGGAGGAAAAATACAAAGTTCAAATTCTTATTGTTTTTACAGTAAGGAAGGCATTAGCAGGTTTACTAAATACATCCTCTTTTCCTCTTACAGGTTAGAAGCTCCACAACTCACCCTGACTGAGCTACAGGTTCTTCTCAAACAGATGGATACTCTGCCCTGTGCCATACATCAGATTAATGAAGTTAAGGTGAAGAGGGGCATGAAATAATGGAATTAGTGTTAAAAGGAGATACATGAGGGAATCCCAAGTAATAAAGGAATTGTAAGAACCTGATTACTCACTGAGTAATGGTGGCACATGCCTTTAATCCAAGCACTTGGGAGGAGAGGCAGGTGGATCTCTCTCTCTCTGAGTTCGAGGCCAGCCTGGTCTATAAGAGCTAGCTGCAGGACAGGCTCAAAGCTACAGAGATACTCTGTTTCGAAAATTAAAATAAAATAAAAAGAATCTGATTCTAAACAAACTACTTACACCCCTTTTTGTGTGCGTAATATAAACTGAATCTTATTTTAGTTACAGTTAGCAAGAATTTGGTGAAAGAATAAATTTACCTTGAACACATTCATCAAGCCTCTCTACAGAAACACAACAGGACTCTCTAAAGTATTTACTTACAAGCTGTGTAGTAGTCTGAGTAGTCCAACAATGATTTTTTCAAGACGGAAAGGTCAATGAACAATGAATACTACTTAAACAACCCTTTATAAAACCCTGTTCATTTATGTTGTCTTAAGGAGACAGCAATTTTCATTATTCCTTATCATTTAATCTTATACTAACAGTAGTTATTTTCTGAGAAAACATTATTAAAGGTACTAAGCTACTGACACATGAAAGTCTGGCTCTTATTGTTGTACAATGAAACTATTAGAAGTTTTTCCTGTCTCGGTTTTCAGTTTCAAGGGACCTTCCCCAGTGCTAATTGTATTAAGTAATCCCTGAAAATTTAATTTTCAGATTATTAAAGGGTATGTGGGATATTCTAATAAAGCATCTCAAATAATAGAATATTTCAAAGGGAAAAATGATTAAGGGTGACGATAAAATAGTGAGAATCTCTACTAGTAGATGGTCATGTATTGAGTGTCTAGATTGCTAAAATTTTCATTTTTAACTTTTTGTAGAATGTCCTGCAACAGGTGGAGGCATACCAAATTCAGACCCGTGAGGCTCTAATTTCAGTGCCTTATAATTCAGAACTACTTCAGTCCCTGTTGGAAAAGGGTCAACAGCTTTGCGTTGAAGTCCCCGAAGCTCATCAGCTTCAGGAAATGATAGAACAGATACAATGGCTAGATCAAGTGAAGCAAGCCCTATCTCCTTCATCCCAGAGGCACTCTCTGGTCATCATGAAGAAGCTTTTAGTTACAGGAACCAAGGTACCCTCCAGCCCTTCTGTGAATAAAGCTCGAGCAGAGCTACAAGAACTGCTGACTATTGCAGAACGTTGGGAGGAAAAGGCCCATTTCTGCTTGGAAGCTAGGTAAGCTTCAGAGTATAATTTCTATGCATTATTTTGGGCTTCATACCTCTACCTAAAGCATACCAGATTAACCTAGTATGTATGTAACATGCCATGCCAGTCTTTCAGGTTTTTGTTTATTAATTTTTATTTAAAATTTTTTTAAATAAATCATATTTTTTTTCTGTCCTAGACCTCTCTACTTCCTTACATACTCAATTTTATATCTTCTTTTTCCCTTTCTAAAAAAGACAGAGAAAACCAAAAAGAAAATAAAACATCAAACTTAAAAATAAGAAAACCAATAAAATGAAAAATAACAAAACACACATAACCAAACCAGAAGTCCATTTTGTGTTAGACTACACTTGAGTATGGAACCTGCGCTGGAGTATGGCCAATGACTCTTTATGGGAGAAAACTAATCCTCCCTCTCCCAGCACATTGATTGCAAACAGCCTTCGGGTTGAGGGAGGTTATTTTTGTCTATTTCACCTCTTAGCACTCGGATTTTTCTCTGATTTCACTCTGTGCATGTCATGTGTATACTCTATATATGTACCAGTGTAGTTGTGTCTAGAAGATACTTCCCTTGGAATCATCTAGTATCTCTGGCTCTTAAAATCATTCCTCCTCTAAAAGAGGAGGAAACTTTGGAGGAGAGGGCCTTTCTGAAATAATTCCATTTGGAGGTAAGTGCTTATTTTAGAATTTCAGAAATTCTTATTTTATTCATTAGTCTATTTGTGAGAATTTGTTAATTCCCATCTACTGCAAGAAGAAACTTTGATCAGTGCTCTGATATATGGGTATAACACAGTGTTATTGGGGTCATGTTATTGATATTGTTCCTTTAGTAGAATAATAGTAGAACTTTTCCCATAGTGCCCTATCAGGACAATTGTATGAATACCAATTGAAGCCTGCAATGCCAGAAATGGGTTTTATCTTGTTTCAGCAGCCAAAGGGTCCTATAGTTCCCCAACCCCCAAATCATATACTTTGACCAAAACTATTGGTTATTCTCCATAACCTTGCTGAAAATACTATGTTCTTACATAATTCAACAGAAAAACATTGATCAGGTGCCCAACTAGAAACTTTACCCCATACCAATTTTATTCATGTGCTAGTTAGGTCCTCTTCACTCTACTTGAGGAGAGTGGTAATCAATATTATTCACCTAACAACCTCCCTGCAAGACAGTGTGGTACAGTAGCAGCACAAATGTTATAGGTGTAACCAACCACATTTTATGTGAATTTAGAGCACAATCCCCATACGTGACATTTCTAAAGTAGCCAAGTACCTGAGAGTAGACAGGTCTTGAGCCTAGGGGAAATCTTAACAATACTTTAAACCAAAAACTGCCAGTGTATTCTTTGGCTGAGTTCTCAGATTATCAACATCATTAATGTAATATACAGGTAACCACTGTATCCTTACTGAGACTTCCAGTATCATTGTTCACTTGATTTATCAAAACTTTTACTGCCTAAACTGGTAGCAAAGGAAACTAGGACAAAAAAAGTACACATAAAGCAATATAATATTAAATATAATTTTCTTTTTCCCAATTATTTTTAGGCAAAAACATACTCCAGCCACTTTGGAAGTTATAATACGTGAGGCAGAAAACATTCCTGTCTACTTGCCTAATATCCAGTCTCTCAAGGAAGCTCTGACTAAGGCACAGGCTTGGATTGCTGATGTGAATGAGATTCAAGTGAGGACTGTGTTTCTTACTTTTCTGTCTAACACTGCAAATAAAGAGAAACCATTTTATTTTAGTTTTCCTCATAGTTGGGTTATGGGAAAAATTGAACATGGGAAGTTAGATCATTGAGGAAGTTAAGGTTATCAAGATAAGAACAAGAAGAGGAGAAAAGAGTCCAAACCCACAAAGAGTTAACCAAAACAAGGGTGAAAAAGCAAGTTGATAGCCTCATTGAATTTTTGATTCTGAGACAGAAAGGGAAGAATTTTGTAAAATGTAGTTTGTAATTTTTTTCTTTTTTCAGAGTATATCTTCATTTCATCAGCACTATGGTTAGATATAGAGTAGAATATATACAAAAATTAAATGACATAATTTAATTGTGTCTATTTCAGAATGGCGATCACTACCCCTGCTTGGATGATTTGGAGGGCCTAGTAGCTGTGGGTCGTGATTTACCTGTGGAGCTAGAAGAACTGAGACAACTGGAAAATCAGGTGCTGACAGCACACTCCTGGAAAGAGAAAGCTTCTAAGACTTTTCTCAAGAAGAATTCTTGCTACACACTGTTGGAGGTAAGGTCTAGTACATTATACCACAGTGTCTTCTGTATATTGTGAAAAAGCTCATAAAAGAACATAAGTTTTGGGGGCATCTTGGGAAAATGAACAGTAATCCCCCTTCCTTCTGTCTGGTAATAGGTTCTCTGCCCATGTGCAGATGTTGGTTCCATTAGCACAAAGCGCAGTCGGTGGATGGAAAAGGAGATGGGGTTATACAAATACGACACAGAATTGCTGGGGCTGTCTGCACAGGACCTCAGGGACCCAGGATCTGTGGTAAGCAGCTTGACATGGAGAAAATTTGGTTTGTAGGTATCTCTCTGAAAAGAAAATGATTATGTAGTCTGAATTGGTTACCTATAAGCAGAAATCACCAAGCCTATTATTTTAATTTGGGAATAGCATAAAGAGGGTAATCCAGAGAGGATGAGGTGCTCAACAGCTTTCACCCTGTCCTGGGTTCAATAGATAATGGCCTTCAAGGAAGGAGAAGCAAAAGAAAAGGAAGGCATCTTGCAGTTGCGACACATCAACTCAGCCAAACCCAATCCAATGTCCTCATCAACCACTGCCTCTGCAACCTCCATCTGTGTATGTGGGAAGGTTCCTGCAGGGGTAGAAGTTCTGCAGTGTGACCTCTGTCAAGACTGGTTTCATGGACAATGTGTTACAGTACCACGCCTGCTCAGTTCCCTAAGGGCCAGTCATACATCATCTCAGCTGCTAGCTTGGTGGGAATGGAATACTAAATTCCTGTGCCCATTGTGCATGCGTTCAAGGCGTCCACGTCTAGAGACCATCCTGTCATTGCTGGTAGGACTACAGAGACTGCCTGTGAGGCTACCTGAGGGTGAGGCCCTGCAGTGCCTAACAGAGAGAGCCATTGGTTGGCAAGGCCGTGCCAGACAGGCTCTAGCTTCTGAGGATGTGACCGCTTTATTGGAACAGCTAGCCAAAGTCCGCCAACAGCTACAGAATAAATTGAGACATGAGAAGGCTCCTACCTCTTCTTCAGACCTTGCCTCTGACTCTGTCAGGAACAGTACTGGCAAGGATATCCTTAAGGTAAGTTGCTCAACTAACTTCTTAACATTTAAATTTCTGTAGGCTAGTCTCTATCCTTAAAGATCTACTCTTACTAATGGTTTTTAGGTCAGTCTCCCTCCCTTGTTCTGCATCATTCTGGATTCTTAAATTCTGTATCAATGGTTGTTAATCTGTGGGTCTTGACCCCACCTATTACATATATTGCATATTGGATATTTACATTATGACTCATAATAGTAGCAAAATGACAGGTAACATTTATGGTTGGGGGTCACCACATGAGGAACTGTATTAAAGGGCTGTACACAGCATTAGGAAGGTTGAGAATCACTTCCTATTGTTTTCTATAAAGAATGGATAAAATTTGATTTTCCACAGCCTGATTTTTCAGTTTTATTAAAGTAATCCATTCCTTCTCTCTTCAGGAAGAGGAGTTGGTACTAAATGAAGATAGACTGATAAGTCCAGAGAAGTCTTTTCTAAAGGAAACTTTATATAAAAGAGGTAAGTCTAGGTGTTGGTAGACTATTGATTAGATACCACCAAATGATTTCTGTCCTGTCCTCAGCTTTCTCATAGTAAGGGGAATAAGATCAAGGTCTGACTCTAAAAGAGCTGTCCACTAACCCTCCAGATGAGGAACTGCTGCCTTCACTATTATCACAATTAACTGGTCCTGTATTGGAACTGCCGGAAGCCACCCGGGCCCCCCTAGAGGAGCTTATGATGGAGGGAGATCTACTTGAAGTGACCTTAGATGAGAACTATAGCATTTGGCAGCTGCTGCAAGCTGGGCAGAATCCTAACTTAGAGCGGATTCACACACTTCTAGAGGTAAGGAGATGGGTCATGGACAGTTGTTGGTAGCAGTGCAAACATGAACTATATACAACATATTTTTGCTTGTCTGTGTATTATAGCTTGAGAAGCCCGAGAACCCAGAGAATCGGTCACAGGAACAGACACCAGAAAGGCGTCAACAGCGGAGGCAAAAGGTGGATTTGAGTAGAAAGGGTGAGGATCTTTCTCAAAAAGAGCTAGAATCAAAAAGAGCCAGAAGTTCAAGGATTAAGCCTAAGGAAAAACAGTTTCAAGAGGCAACATGTGGAGAAAATGTGTTTTTGTCATGCCCTACAGAACATACACATATCTTAAAAGAGCACATGAGTAGTGTACAGAAGAAGGATATAAGCCCTTCATCTTCTTTTTCTTCCATAACTCCTTTGCTACACCTATCTTATTTTCATCAACAGGAATTATAACATTAGGAAAAGTGATTTTCCCCATTCTTTCCTAATTCTCATTACTCCTTTCCTTGTTCTTTCCTTCTTTCTTTTCTCCCTTTTCTCTCCTTTCTTTCTGTTATTCCTCTACCTTCCCTCAGTTTCACTGCCTTTCATACACCTTTCTTTGCCTTTAATTCCTTCAGTACCTAAAGAACTATTTATTTCTTATCTAGAGCTTGTCTACACATTATTGTGTCCTTACTCCTAATGCATTTACAGCTCATTTCCTAAAAACTATGCCCTGTGTGCTTTCCCAAAATTCTGTCAGCAATATTCCTATGACTACCATACAAAACGTGATGTCCTGAGCTACAGAGAGAAAAGTAAAATTTGAAAATTTTAAAGTTTATTAAACTTCTTGATTTTTAAATGCTTCACTCTTCTCTATGTAATGGCCAGATCATGTACTTATTAAAATAAGTCTTTTATTTCATATTTTTTATTTTATCTTACTTTTTTCTCTTTAGTTCACATTGTGAGAAAATATATTGTATGTTGTAACTACTTCTTAAGGAAAAAAATACAGTATGCAAATTTATTCTAGTTTTCTTTTAATTTTCTTTCTTCTGTTAAAATAAACGTGTGTTTTGAAATTGGACCTGACTTGGACTTCTTGAAGTAGGGGATTAGAAAACCAAGGTTGAAAAGAATTGCAATTATGGGAATCAACAAAGTTTGTTTCTGGATTTAACAATGATTTATATTCAGGTTCTCTCTTCTCTATTCTTTTTTTTTTTTTTTAATAATTTTTTTTATTAAGAAAAGAAGAAAAAAAACATAAACAAAAAACAATTTCCACCTCCTCCCAGCCTCCCATTTCCCTCCCCCTCCTCCCACCCTTCTCCCCCTCCTCCCACCCTTCTACCCCTCCCCCCACTCCTCTCCCCCTCCCTCTCCAGTCCACAGAGCAGTCCAGGTTCCCTGCCCTGTGGTAAGACCTAGGTCCTCCCCCCTCCGTCCATATCTAGGAAGGTGAACATCCAAACTGGCTAGGCTTCCACAAAGCCAGCACATTAAGTAGGATCAAAACCCCGTGCCATTGTCCTTGGCGTCTCATCAGCCCTCATTGTTCGCCATGTTCAGAGAGTCCGGTTTTATCCCATGCTTTTTCGGTCACAGTCCAGCTGGCCTTGGTGAGCTCCCAGTAGATCAGCTCCACTGTCTCAGTGGGTGGGTGCACGCCTCGTGGTCCCGACTTCTTTGCTCATGTTCTCCCTCCTTCTGCTCCTCATTGGGACCTTGGGAGCTCAGTCCAGTGCTCCAGTGTGGGTCTCTGTCTCTGTCTCCATCCATCACCAGATGAAGGTTCTATGATGATATGCAAGATATTCGTCAGTATTGCTCTAGGATAGGGTCATTTCAGGTTCCCAATCCTCAGCTACCCAAGGAACTAACTGGGAACCTCATGTTGGGCACTTGGGAGCCCCTCTAGGGTCAAATCTCTTGCTCACCCTAAAGTGGTTCCCTTAACTAAGAATTGTGGTTCCGTGCTCCCCTATCCACCTTTCCTTTATCCCAATTCTCCTGATTCCCCAAGTCCCCCCTCCTTCCCTTCTACCTTTTCTCTCCCCATCTCCCCTTACCCCCATCCCACCCCACCCCCAAGATCCTAATTTTCTCCCCGGCAATTGGGTCTACTTCCCTTAGCCAAGAGGATAACTATATGTTTTTCCTTGGGTTCACCTTCTTACTTAGCTTCTTTAGGTTCACCTATTGTAGACTCCGTGGCCCTAATTTATGGCTAGAAACCAATTATGAGCGAGTACATCCCATGTTCATCTTTTTGGGTCTGGGACACCTCACTCAGGATAGTGTTTTCTATTTCCATCCATTTGCCTGCAAAATTCGAGAAGTCATTGTTTTTTACCGCAGCGTAGTACTCTAGCGTGTATATATTCCATACTTTCTTCATCCATTCTTCCATTGAAGGGCATCTAGGTTGTTTCCAGGTTCTGGCTATTACAAATAATACTGCTATGAACATAGTTGAACAAATGCTTTTGTCATATGATAGAGCATCTCTTGGGTATATTCCCAGGAGTGGTATTGCTGGGTCCAGGGGTAAGTTGATCCCGAATTTCCTGAGAAACCGAAACACTGACTTCCACAGTGGTTGCACGAGATGGCATTCCCACCAGCAATGGATGAGGGTACCCGTTCCTCCACAGCCTCTCCAGCAAAGGTTATCCTTGGTGTTTTTGACTTTAGCCATTCTGACAGGTGTAAGATGATATCTCAAAGTTGTTTTGATTTGCATTTCCCTGATTGCTAAGGAAGTTGAGCACGACTTTAAGTGTCTTTTGGCCATTTGAACTTCCTCTGCTGAGAATTCTCTGTTCAGTTCAGTGATGTGTTGTGTACATATTGTTGTCATACCTTCAGTTTCCCTAGTAACTGTCAAATAAAATAACCCCTCTTACTTTCTCTTTTAGAACATTGTTTTGGTGAGCTTGTAATGACTTTATTTCTTGATTTGGTTTCTTTTGAGTCCTATAATTTTAACAACTTATTTTCTCTCCTCGGGTTACTCTTCATTCTTATTTAATTCATTGGCTGTGATATTTCATTGTAAAGGTTAAGTCAGTAGCATATAACACTATCCATCAATTCTATTTTTCTTAATTTCTTTCAATTATCAAATATTGTCAATCTTTTCTATTCTGTTTTGTTGTTGTTGTTGTTTTGTTTTGTTTTTGTTTTTCAAGACAGGGTTCCTCTGTAGTTTTAGAGTAGACCAGGCTGGCCTTGAACTCACAAATCTGCTTTCTCTGCCTCCCCAGTGCTGGGATTAAAGGTGTGTCCCATCACTCTCTGGCTCTTTTTTCTATTCTTACTGATAAGAGTCGTTTTGTTCACAGTAAACCCCCTTTTTTCTGTAACCAGTTTATCATCAAGCCAGGTTTATTATTAAATATAATTATGCTCCTCAAATCAGTTTTAATTTCTTTATATATTAGTTACAAAATTGTTTGTTTTCAAGTAATATTTCTTTATATCATTTTCATCCAAACCTTTTTAGTTTCACCTTTCCTCAACTCAACATATTTCATTTCCTTACATCTCTGCTGTCATTAGTCCTCCATTCCCTTTTATATTGTATGGTTTTTGTTAGTTTCTCTATCCTCTATTGTAGAGCCAATTCTTCTCATGGAACCTATTCTATTTTCTGAGTTTCTACAGTTCCCAAAAAGTTAAACATAGCGTTATAAGGATCCAAAGCTAGGATATCCATATGACTAAGAACATGCTATGTTTGAATATAGGTTAAATCACTTTTTTTTCCAAGCTCTTTTCCTTTTCCTGTAAATACAACAATGTAATTTTATTTATAGCAGAAATGAATTCACATTTTGATTATCAGTTCATCAGTTGGTAGGTATATAGGCTGATTTTATTTTCCAGTTGTGATTAGATAGAGCTGAAATAAATATAGGTAAGCAAATATCTCTATACTAGGATATTGAAAACAATCCCATTCACAGTTTCCACAAAATAAACCAGTACATGCATGTTTTTCAAGAAACCAAACCAAGGAAGTTAAAAACTTGTATGCTGAGAACATTTAAATGGTAAAGAGATAAATTAAAGGAACTATGAGATGGTTACTATGCTCATAAATTTAAATAATCAATATTGTAAAAATAACTACCTTGCCAAAAGCAATCTCTAGATTCATTGTAATACCAAACAAATCACAATGACATGTTTTACAGAATTAGAAAAACAGTATTAAAAATATTCTTAAGCATAAATATTTTTGTTACTCAAATCCTAAGAAAAAAGGATAAGTTAGGAGATATCACTATAGTGCCAAATTAGCATAATACATGAACAAAAAGACATGTATATCCATGGAAAAGAATAAGAGATCCAGACATACTCCCACAAAAGCTACAAACTCTTGATTTCTTACAAAGATGCCAAAATTACATTTTTAGAGAAAAGACAGCCTTTTTTTTTTTTTGTTTAACCATTTATTGTCTCTTTTACAGTTTGGGGTGCTAGACACAGATAACTTTGCTACAAGAATATTCAGTATCTTTTGGAATAACTATTCTTTTTTTTTTCATTTTTTTTTTCATTGAGAAAAGGAGAAAAAAAAAACAAGTTTCCACCTCCTCCCAGCCTCCCTTTTCCCTCTCCGTCCTCCCACCCTTCTCCCCCTCCTCCCACCCTTCCCCCCCCCCCCACAAACTTCTCTCCCCCTCCCTCTCCAGTCCAAAGAGCAGTCCGGGTTCCCTGCCCTGTGGTAAGTCCTAGGTCCTCCCCTCTCCGTCCATATCTAGGAAGGTGAACATCCAAACTGGCTAGGCTCCCACAAAGCCAGCACATTACATAGGTTCAAAACCCCGTGCCATTGTCCTTGGCTTCTCATCAGCCCTCATTGTTCACCATGTTCAGAGAGTCCAGTTTTAACCCATGCTTTTTCAGTCACAGTCCAGCTGGCCTTGGTGAGCTCCCAATAGATCAGCTCCACTGTCTCAGTGGGTGGGTGCTCCCCTCGTGGTCCCGACTTCTTTGCTCATGTTCTCCCTCCTTCTGCTCCTCATTGGGACCTTGGGAGCTCAGTCTAGTGCTCCAGTGTGGGTCTCTGTCTCTATCGCCATCCATCACCAGATGAAGGTTCTATATATTCATCAGTATTGCTATAGGATAGGGTCATTTCAAGTTCCCTATCCTCAGGTGCCCAAGGAACTAACTGGGGACCTCGGCATGGGCATCTGGGAGCCACTCTAGGTTCAAGTCTCTTGCTAACCCTAAGGTGGCTCCCTTAACTAAGAATTGTGCTTCCGTGCTCCCCTATCTAACCTTCCTTTATCCCAATCCTCAGTTCCCCAAGTTCCCCCCATTCTCCCCTTCTCCCTTTTCTCTCCCCATCTCCCCTTACCCTCATCCCACCCCACCGCCAAGATCTCAATTTTCTCCCCAGCTATTTTGTCTACTTCCCATAGCCAAGAGGATAACTATATGTTTTTCCTTTGGTTCACCTTCTTATTTAGCTTCGTAAGGTTCACCAATTGTAGTCTCCGTGACCCTTATTTATGGCTAGAAACCAATTATGAGTGAGTACATCCCATGTTCATCTTTTTGGGTCTGGGATATCTCACTCAGGATAGTGTTTTCTATTTTCATCCATTTGCATGCAAAATTTGAGAAGTCATTGTTTTTTACCGCAGCATAGTACTCTAATGTGTATATATTCCATACTTTCGTCATCCAATTTTCCATTGAAGGGCATCTAGGTTGTTTCCAGGTTCTGGTTATTACAAACAATGTTGCTATGAACATAGTTGAGCATATACTTTTGTCATATGATCGGGCATCTCTTGATTATATTCCCAAGAGTGGTATTGCTGGGTCCAGGGGTAGGTTGATCCCGAATTTCCTGAGAAACTGAAACACTAATTTCCACAGTGGTTGCACAAGATTGCATTCCCACCAGCAATGGATGAGGGTACCCCTTCCTCCACAGCCTCTCCACCAAAGGCTATCCTTGGTGTTTTTGACTTTAGCCATTCTGACAGGTGTAAGATGATATCTCAAAGTTGTTTTGATTTGCATTTCCCTGAATGCTAAGGAGGTTGAGCACGACCTTCA